TTCTTAATTGATAAAAAGCTCTACGGTAAGTTCTGTGGAAATACTTTACTTTTATATGTTTGCGCAAATCCCCCTTATGAACGGGCCACTCGCAAAAAAAGGGGGCGTGGATCAACCAGTTTGCATACCAAATTTGGTGAAGCTACCATGGCGGTAAATATTTTTCGCCGCGACTTCGTGTTTTCGGCCATAGTGCACAGGCGCAAACACAAGCACACGTGACCGGCCAATTAGCATAGCGTAGCGTAATTGCATTATTGTAAGAGTATCATGTACAAATTAATAAGCGAAAATTTTAAAGACCTCTACTACTTTAGATGTCATATGCGTACAGATGCCTTTATAAGTAAATACAGGAAGAAAAGAGCAAAATCCATAAAAGATATTTGCGTCAATAAAAAATCAAAATACAGGAAAGAACAATTATGTAAATGTATACATACTTAGTTATATGTGTATATACATTAGGGTGGTCATTAAATGTAGGAAGCAAATTTTTCCATCAGACTTCCTAAGCCTCAACCCCTACGTCGATGCTACTATAGTCGAAGATATCACATATAAATTTTGGTCCCGATTGAAGTCGATTAAGGTGTGGCGCACAGGGGCCAAAACTCAGATTAACCTTTGAAGACGCCTTAACCGTCGCCAATCGGGACCAAAATTTGTATGTGATATCTTCGACTTTAGTAGTATTATTTTTGGGTATTAAATGAAAAAATGTTTTTTTTTTAGTCTCTGGCCTCGGACTCCATTGCGACACGCCTTAACCGACTCCAATCGGGACCAAAATTTAAATGTGATATTTTCGACTACGTTAGTATCGATTTTGGGTATGAGTTGGTAAAAAAATTAATTTTAATAATTTGAGTCTCTATCCGCCCTAACCGTCTCCAATCGGGACCAAAACTTGTATGTGACATCTGGTGACCGTGGTATTACCGATTGAAGGGGTGGGACTGAAAAAATCTCTCATTGGATTTTTCTAAGAACCGCCCTAATTTACATACATACATATGTCGCTTACGAAAATTGTGTAAGTGAATCTCCGATTAGCTGCTCTGACATATATATATATATACATATTAATCAAAAAGAAGAATTATTTATATATTTATGTACATGGATAGCATATCGTTCACGCCACTTTTTGTTACGCCGTATAATTTGTTTTTCTGCGTCACCCGAAATTGGCTTGCGTGCGTTTGCATTTGATTTTACTGAGCGAAACGTTAAATCCAAATCTCACGCAAAACAAAATTTCAAAAATTGAGTTAGCTTTTTACGCATGCCGTTCAATTTCGGTTGGTCGCATACAAATTGTATGTGCATACAAAATTTTTGACAGTAAATTGCCGGCGTGCGTGAATATTAGGTTGGCCTGTTAGTCATTTTTTCGAAGGGATTCTCCCACACATCGTATATTTTCAAGTATCTTTAGATATGTAATGGCAAATACTTATTCCCACTCTTGAACTTTAAAAATAGTCAGAAAAGGCTTTCATATATACATACATACATACATAGTACATATGTACTAAAAGTGTGTAGGTAAAACAATATTTAGCATATTAAGTGGGTTCAAACACTTTAAAATCACTTACGCGTTTTTTCTTCGTTCTGTATTTGTAAATGGCACATGCTTGCGTGAGTACATTAGGACGGGTCAAATATTGTTGAATTAATCAAGAAAAGTCCCATTATCTTATATACGGTCAACGTTTACCAGAGTCAATGACGAGGTACTTGAGTATCCTAATTCATTTTTTCGATGCCTTTGCACAGATAATTATATATTAATCGCCTTTATTTCTCAAAATCGGTAAAAAAAAAAGTTTTTTTTTGTATCTATTAAAACCTAAATCACTATTATCAGGAGGTTCATCGCTATGTATATCTCCATTATTAAACAAATGAACATAAGAACATTGACATAGACACCACCCCGATTTAGGGCTTTTTCTTCATTAACAGATCATGCCAAAATTATGTCTCGTAAAATCCATTATCAAATCAAGAGAAAGCTCTGTATTCTTTAATGTTGCCATATTGTTAAAGCAGCTTATGACATAGTGCTATAAAAATGTAATGTTAAATGGATCTTCATTGGTTTCGTCAAATTTAATCGCTATTTTGCAATTTTTATTTTTTCGTTATTTTGTGTTCTTCTTTTTTTTTGCAATTTTCAACCGGACTGCGTTCTTATGACCACTTTAAATCTTTAATGATCTAAAAAATTTAATCTGAAAATAAGCGTTATAATATGATCGCAAAAATATAAATCATAAAGCTCTGATCCAATGCTTTTCGTATAAAATCCTCTCCTGTAAACAGCAAAATTACTCGCTGGAGTGAGAATAAAAAGTGAGTAACAAAAAAAAGTAAGGGAACAAAACACGCATGTTTCCTGTAAAAACGTCAACCAGTGATCGCTTGACACTTTTCATGATTTTACCAGAAGAAAAAGTTCGAGTAAAATCATGCAACTTTATTCTCTACGTAACTCTCCAAAAATCGCTCTCATTTACAGGATTTTGGAGAACGGGTTAATTTTTCCAGTAACTTCCTGCAAGTTCATGCAAAAACCTGTAAGTTCATGGATTTAAAATAAAATAAAAAAATAATAAAAAATCCAAACATTAAATTTTCTTGATCGAACAAACATATATCACGGTTAAATTTGATCAAAAAAATATAAATCAAATCATAACCGTTACGGTCCCTGCAAATAACGAATAAAGTTTATTGGAACTTGCAAAAACTAGAAATTTTCTAGAAATGTATCTACATACATAGATTTAAAAGTATTCATTTTAATATTTTTCTTTTGGCCGATTGCCTTCCTGGTCGTCTATGTTCGCTAATTTATTGTTACTTTCACATACAAATTTCTAATTTAGCGAGTTGGAACTATTGAAGCTAAGAAATAGCGACTCAAAAGCGGCTAATATTTATGAAATAAAATTCTTGTCAGATTTCTCGAAGAAACTTTATTTTCTATTTTGGTAAACTCGCCCAAGGCGTTACAACTGAACTCGGATAGTCAGGGACAAAAATATGAAATTCATTAAGAGCGTCAATTTAAACTGTTAAGTTTTAAGAAGCTTTTATTACATGCTGTCGGAGCAAGGTTAAAAAATTTTGAATTTTTACAAATGACAAAGAAAGCTGCATAATTTTATAAGCGCAAATATTTAGTGGACTCATAAATTTATTAAAGTTTATTACATTACTTAATCGACCTAGCTTAATGTATCTACACACACTCAAGTTCAGGAAACATTACCAGTACTTAAGAAAAACTTACAACACTCAATTTCACTAATTACAATTCTATTCAATACGAGGGTAATTCAAAACTTCAAGTAGACAGCCGTGAAAGCAGATAAATTAGCAGTTTTCCTAAAGTCAAGGCTAATGAAATTAATACGATTTCTTTTAAGAATAAAACTCTAAAATTCACCTTTGAGGCAAATTTCAAATGAATATTTGAACGGCACTTAAGCTTAATTTTGGATTGTTACTTAAATGTCACTTAACTTTCGTTGGTCTTCAGATCAATTTTATTTAAATATGCAAAACAAGTGGCAACACTGTTACTTGCTCCCTCAAATTGTTGTTGCATTTGTTTGTTTGTTTATGTTTTGTACTGAACAGCTTATTGTTCTTTGGCAAGATTATAAAAACAACCTATTTAGCTATCTAGGTTGTTTGGTAAAAACACAGGGTTGCATATTTCACATTTAAATAGCCAATATTGGCCATTTAAATGCACTGCAGATTAAATGTATGACCCGAAAATGAATTTTTGAAGTTAATTAACAATCTCTACTTAAAGAGGTCATCTGAAATTGCGCCTTAATTGAGAGAGACATTTCAGTGAGGTAACAAAAATATCCCCAGAGCACATGAGCATTGTAAAAATGGTAGATTTTCTACCAAGGCACACAAACCGCTGAGCTCAGATCACGGTTCCTGAAACTGCAGGTCTTCTGAACTGCCTACAAGAGATGGCTTAACAGAACAGTATTCACCTCAATTGGTTTGCCAGGTTACTGGGACATAGTGGGAAAGTTCAGAGAATACAATCAATCAGATTATTCCTGTTACTTATTATTCTGCTACTTAAAAGCTCTGACCCGTAGTTTTAATCGAAATAATTGGACTCAAAATTTAAAAGCAGCTTTTTGACATAACTTTCAGTAAAAAAATGGAGTCAAAGCTTAGTCTGTAGTACATCAAGACAGATATGGAAGAGATGGTACCCGCCAATAGTAATGACGGTCCACTTGAGGTCAATGAACTTTGAAAATAAATTCGAGACAAAAACATCGATATGCTATACTTGAAGATGCGACGCTAAATGCCGAAGATATCACAAAAAATGTAAAAAGGCAAAACAAAAACAAAAATCCAAAATTTGGCTTGTAGAAATGCTTCAGACTCAAGGGTGTACTGCGATTTTTTTCTGTTACGGTCTAACATGTTCATACATACATACATATGTAGGGATTTTTTCACTCAGTCAAATTTTTTAAAGAAAACTCAACTTTTTATAATTTTTCCAAAATCTTTTTGGAAACAGAGCTGACAAAGCCATTTTTTTTAATAAATATTTGGAGCTTGATTTGGAGTTAAAATATCACACGTGATCTGCCAAAGAGACCCAACTTAAAATTTGGCATTTTTGAAATTATGCACTAAAAATGTATGCAAAGCTTTTATTTAACTTCCTGCAAAAGCTGGATCAAATTTTTGTTATAATTTGTTGAAAAAAACCGAATTATATGGTTAGCAATAATTTTTCGCATTTTCTGACGAACGGGTAATTTTGAGTTGTGTCACCTTTGAAGATCGTGTGCGATATCATGAATTTGCATATTTTCAGTAGTGAATTTCAGAACCACTGAATTTAGTGAGCAATTATTATTTTTTTTTTCTGTTTATAGCATTACAAAGAAAAATAATGTGATTTTCATAAAAATTTAGCACAAACTTACGCAAGCGATTTAAAAAAAGCTCTTCACTTCCACTGTACCAAAATTTAGACTGCAACTGGAAACGGAGCACACGCACACGGATCTGTTACTTTATTGCTTAACTACTATCACACTTATAATAAGTTAACTGTTTAGATTTAATAAAACTTTTATTTTAGTCTGCTTTATTTTATTTTTAGTTTACTTAACTATTACTTGAAAATATTTTTAATCTCAAATTATTTGCTTAATTTTTTAATAACTCCGAAACCGTATTTCGTATTTTTACAGTTGCCTTCACTTAGCTATAGGCAAGAACTTGGCACAATCTATGCACTTTGACAACTAAAATGGGGTTTGCATGAAAAAAAACATCAATAAGTCGTTTCTAAGATGTTTAGTTCTTTGCTTCCCTACCGGCGTCCCTACGCGACTGTCTGTCTGCACTTTTAAATATTTTCGTTTTTTTTTTTGTGTGTTTGCTCTTTCGTGCGTATCGATTAAGCAATCATCCCATAACTATTTCATTGTTCGCTCATTTAAATAAATATTTATTCACTCATTGCGCCGCTGTTGTTGTTGTTGGCGTTGCTATTATTACTTATAAACTTTTGCTTTACAACAAATTAGCAACGCATTCAAAATTTTGTCACTGTCGTTTATTTTCGTTTTTTTTTTTTATATATGTTTGTTATTGTTGCAAATAACATTTATGTAGCCTTTGGCCTTCAAATATACAGCACATACTTTGCCTTCTTTCTCTTTAAAAACGAAAAAAAAAAATGATTTCTTTTATTTACTTTTTTATTATATTTTCGTGAGCTTCCACACCGCAAACCACAATGAATTCGAATCACTTTTATTTTCCTTACGCACGTACAAAAAACCAACGAAATTCATTAACTGTCTTGCCTCTACATTTAAGTAAGTCCCGTAACGCATACCGCGAGTAATTCCGTGCAAATGCTGCGCACGATCGATACGCTCAAACTTTTATAAAGTTTTTGTGTTTCGACGTACATACGTACGTAGATATGTAGATAGCTGAAGGGAGTAGATAGTCAATGCGAGACGCGCGCAATCAAAGGTCTCTGCGCGGAGCCCAGTAAATCCCAGCAACTAAGTTTGACTTTAAATGCGACTTTGACACTAGCGACTGACTCTGACTGCTGCCTCACCACACCATCGTCACTCGCTCGCTTTTGTACGCTCGCTTTGCTTCACAGCTTTTGTCGGCATCTCTCAATCCGTGTGATGCTAATTTTCGCAGTTAGTGCGTTTAATAGTATTATTTAAATCTCGATGATCTACATTCAATCACACGCTGACCGCTCACTACCCAGCCAGAAAAAAAATCCGAAAAAGGACAAAAAAGTGGATGAAGTGCGCATTTTTGTCCATTTACTGAATCCATTTTCGGATACTTTGTCGATCCGTTGTTGAATTTTTCGTTCAATACGCTTTCCTTCTGCACTTCACAGATACTTTTTCATGGTTCAAAAGAAATAAAATAAAATTAGGAAGCGCCTGACGGAATTCGGCACCTTCTGGAAGCTAACAAATAGCGGCACACTCCTCTGCATGCTTTCAAATGTTTAGTTAGAATAAATAAAATACAATTAATGCTTGCAAATGACATAATCTTTTTCGAACGTTTCGAACGTTTTTGCGGAGACGGACAATTGAACTAAACTGCAAAATTTACGTTTCTTTGCTGGCTGGGTATACCCTCACACCACACACACACACACAAACACACACTGTCCCACAGCCGCGCTCCAGCTGACCCGAATGGGCTCCTCCAAAAATTAAGCTCTCAACTCAATGGTGTTTTTGGTTTTTTTTTTTTTTTGACAGCGCATTGAAAATCAGTGATTTTCGGTAGCGCTGGCGCGTTCGGGCTTTTTGTTTACCCATGAGCGTGGAATGGAATGATAAAGAAATGAGCATCCTCAGCATAGCCTCAACAAAAGCATGCATACATAAAAGTTAAATAATTTTATCGCACACGCATATGTATGTAAGTCCACAGCAGTTGGTTGATTACTCTCGAGTGAAGATCGATGGCCCTTTAAAATAATTTTGGTGCTACACGCTTAAATGCATTACATTGGAGATGCGTACACGCAAGCTTATATACATAGCTAGTAGTAATATGCGCGCAAGAGATGCTAATCCCGAAAATTTTTAATCACATGCCGAAGCATCGGGATGAACGACGGAACTCAATTTTTTATTTACTCTTTGGTGTTCATGTTTCCTTCGTTCAATGGAGAGTTACTCATGAAAATAAACAAAGGGTAAACATATCAGTGACCAACCGCTATACACGATTTCTTTTTATTTCAAATTGGGAAAAAACTATTTTACCCGTATGTAACTGGGAGTGCCAGTTACTGCCGAAATTTGTCAGTTTTTCTAGCTTTTAAGAGCCTTGAAGATGTTTTCAGAGTTGGGACGTCTTTTAACTTACAAGGTAAAAAAATTAATAACCGGAAAATCTCCTGCTTTGGAACTATGTACATAAAACGTGACTACCATTTTTTATAGCTTTGAAGGATTTTTTCATGACTTATAATTGACTCGATACGTTCCAGTTTGTCAATAAATTTCGATAAATTGATATATATCGATACCTCGATAACTCTACAAATTTCGATAGTTATTGATACTGTGCGTTTCGAGGACTCGATTAATATCGATAACTCAGAAATTGGCATATCTCGATACATTGATAGAAGTTGCTATAACTCTAAATACTTTAAAAATTCGATAAACTACGATTCGATAAACCGGCAAATTTTGGTAAATCAATAATTATCGATAAGCTGAAAGAATTTGATAATTACGATAATTCGTTAAATTTCGTTAGCTCCATAAATAATGACATGTAATTCAATAAGAATCGATAACTTGATAAATTCCATTAACTTAACAAATTTCGATAATCCAATAAATTTGTATTACTCTGTAACCATCGGTAAATTTCGACAATTAAATTTCTGTGTATAAATTTCGACAACTCAATAAACATTAATTAAGTTGAATAATTTAATACAATCCAATAGCTCAATAAACTTTAGTTACCTCGATAAATTTCGATAACTAAAAACTTCGATGGCTCGATAAATTTCGATAACTGCATTACTGAATTTTTGGTGACTAAATTTGTTCGATTTTATATGCTTTCATTGCTTTCATTTTCATCTCTATCTTCAATTTTGTCTTCACTTTTAATCAATTAGTTCTTTACCCTCGCATTTATCTCCATAGTGCCATCTGAATAGATACCGATAATGATATCGAATTTTGCGTACATATTTATCGGAAGATTTATGGATATTCCATTATTATCACCCATATCGATTCAATCGTTTACATTAGGGAGGGGCAGCAGAGGCGCATGCCCATTAGCGACTGCTCTGCCGTTGATGGACACAAAGGGCGTTGCAAATGTAAATAAGAAAATCTGTTAATGCGTATTTGGTCAAAATTTTGGGATCGAGGAGCGAGTGAAAAAAAAAATATTTTTTTTAACTAACCCGTCGGCTCTTGATATATTTTTAACCGACTTTAAAAAGGGGGGAGGTTATAAATTCGTGGGAATATATATCCTTTTTATGTATGTTACCACATAACTTTGGACTACGTCAACCGAAAATTCTTTTTATCCGACGAAAATTCTTTTTATCGGAAAGGTAGTGTCTCAGAGGTGATTCCATACTAATCTGGTTTAGATCCGATCATTGGATCATGAAAAAATTAACGGTGCTCCTAAATTTTTATATGAGATTTGAAGTCGGTTTTTTTTTTTGCTTAAAAATTACTTGCTTTTATATTACATCTTCAGGCATCTAGAAACAAGTGTCTCTCACTTCATTTCTCCGCGCATGCAATCAAAATGGAAAATATAGTCAAAGACTGCATATTTCGGTATACAGATTTGTTATAAAAGTGTATTATCCAAAATATAATATTTTTATAGTTTCTTTGAGCCTTGATCTTTATTAAAATACTTTGGTTTAATTTTTAACTTTGCAGGATTCGCCAAGTTTTCCTTACGTGTGACTTTATTTATAACTGACTTTCAAAAAATCTAACGTTAAAGACCACCTAAAACCACAATTATCTTTAAAACCACAGAAGATAGGTAACAACTATTTGTAAATAAAATGTTGCTTTTGGAATTTATTATCAGGATTAATGAAAAACTTTCGGTTTTTATAAAACGTTTCAGAAATATAAACAGAAGTATACGTGCGACTGTAGCGTTAAAGACAAAAATTTTGACCATTTCAGTGTTAATATTTAAGTAAAAATTAATTCTTTTTTTTTTTTGTAATCTACATTATTTTACGGAGGCTAGACCCGTTAAACTTGAAATAAATTACACCTAATGTGGCACGCAGATATTGCATGCAATTTAGTTGACTAATATTCAATAATTTCATTGCTTTCATATGTACATATATATTTTAAGCTCGTCGGATAACTACTTAAGTAAATACGCTTCGAATACTTTTAAGCAGGAGGAAAGAGGATATTTAGAAATAAGCATATATCTGTGGTCGTAAGCAATAATCGCCTAAGTCGACTTAAGAAAGAATTAAGTTATAAATACTATCGTAGTCTGCTACTACCATTCCATGTTTATTCGAAATCCCCATCTCGCCATCCAGGTTATTTAAAAAGTTATAGACGAACATGTTTTGGTTTGCCCATAATGTTAACATTACAAACCAAATGTTTAAAACGTTTTTTCTCGAATTCATGTTTTTCGACTTAGGCGGTTATTGCTTATGACCACAGATATATGTATGAAATCGGATTATTATTATTGTTACGAGAATGTCAGTGCGATGACTTTTTACGAGGCCTAATTAAAAGGCAAACAAGTTATTGATTTCTAATCACTTATATTATAATCGTTAGGGATGTGCCGGGTATCCGGTTGGTATCCGAAATCCGGCTTATCCGGACGTTTTTCTAAATCGCTGCCTTTTTTCTTGTATGGTCGCTGCCTTGTCTACAAATCGGTATCAGAGCCAGTAGCGCCACGGACAATTTTCTTTTCCTACCAAAACTAATCAAAATTTACCAAAAATTGTTTGGATTTAATATGTTTTTTAATTTCAAGTTCGTTAAAAATGTAGATGAAGTTAAGCACTCTGGAAATTGCCATGTTCCAAATTTTGGATGGGTAGTCAAATAGAATATGCTCTGGCATGCAAGCGCATTTGGGCTCCATGCCTTCATTGCCTACAAACTAGGGCTGTGCGATTAATTGATTATTCAAAATTTTCATTAATCATAAAGTAAATAACTCAAATATTCGATTGATTGGAAATTATGATTACTCAAAAGTTCAGTTACTCGAGCAATCAAGATTTTGATTAACCAAAAACAAAAACATTTGAATAATTTGCTTTATGATTAATCAACATTTGGAGTAAAATTAGTAATCAACATTTCAAAGTACTGTTTACATATAAAGTATAGTTAAGTTCCTTGATACTTTGAAAATAACGTTTCTGTTTTCACAAATTAAAACAGAATATTTTTTTCATATACAGATTAAATACAAAAACGAAAATTAGTATTTTCCAAAGCAAACGGTTTTAACGAGCAAAATTCATTTTTCTTTTTGTTGAGTAATCATATTTTAAGTAACTCGATTAATCATCGACTATCTTTGACGTTTCTCCTCTATTTACCAAAAATAATCGATAAATCAGGGTTGCAGACGGATAAGTTATCTTCTTAATTATTTCATAAGTGGAATTCAGGGGAGAGATTTTGTATTCCTAATTACGTATTGGATAGTTCATATCAAAAAAGCAGACAATCTGGTCAGAAGTATGTCGCTATTAAAAAAAAAAATATAACAATTTTGTGAATTTTATTAAGGGTAGCACTCTACCGGATATCCAATCGGATATCCGAATCCGGCTCTTATTTTTTACATGGTATCCGGAATCCCTAATAATCGTATTAAATAAAGATTAATCGGCTTTTTTGGTACCAAAGTTCATACATATATGTATATATTAGGATACCTCACCAAAAAAGTCGTGCTGTTTCGACCGGAATTATAAAAGCTATTATATTTAAAGACTTACGCCAAAATCTTTCGGAAAAATATTAAAATTTACGTGAGCTAGGCCGGTTTAAAATGAACTCAAAAAATCGAGTTTTTTTATAAATAAAATTATTATTTTTTTTAATTTGTTTCCAAAAAAAATCGCAGGTGATAGAAGACTTCACGCTCAAAAGGTCTGCATAAAAATGTTCAAAACATTTTACCAACAGAACCAAAATAATATAATCTTTGAAGTTATTCTCAAATCGGTCCAGCTCATGAAAGTCTACATATTTTTCCGAAAGATTTTGGCGAAAGTCTTAAAATATAATAAGTTTTATAATTCCGAGGGAAAAACAGTAGGGTTTTTTTTTTTGATGAAGAGTGATGCACCCTAATGTACATACGTAGTATGTATTACATACATATGTTTGTGCTGTGTGAAAAAACAAGTAGTAAGTCTCAATAATAAAAAATATGAAACATTTAAACTGAATTGACTTTTAATCGCTTTCACATCAAAGCTTGTTCATCATTTCCAATAACATAGAAGTTGTTCACAATGCAAATATGTTCTAAATGCAAATATGTATGTATGTATGTATGTATATCTAGATTTTTATATAATTTCTTCTAGTTTTATTTATTTACATACTTTGTATGTATGTACATATGTACATACTTCTACTATAATGGTCAGCCTAAAGATAAATTCCGGAAATAATTGCGCAAGCCACACGATCACATTGTATAATAATTTATGTTTTAACAACAACCACATGTGTACGTGCATGCATACATACATATATGTATGTACGCTTAAGAAAATTAACATGTTAAGATGTAGGTATGTTTGTCCACTAGGTCATTCAATGCATTGTGGTTGCACAAGTCCTTGCACGTTGTCTTCCTCTTATTTTTCTGGTTTGCCTGTTATTAAAAACTTAATTTTTTTCTCACGCACATCTGGTATACATTCAAGACTTCATTCTGTTCTTACGAGTACTAGTAAATTGTATTAACATCAGATTTATTGATTGCTTCAAAACTCTTCGTCTGAAGGCCAATAAACTAGCTGGGATTGGCAAGCTCACCGAGCATTGACGTTTTGACCCTGATATGACGAAAGAATAAATGACAAGAAATATTGACAGGATTTCACAACATACAAGTATATGAATTTGTAAGAAAAATAGTAAGATACTATACGGATTTTTTACCCTACTCTACCCAACAAAACTGCTCTTTCTGCAATCGAATTATAAAATCCGGTCTTAAATTGAACTATGTATGTATGTATATTGATATTATTTCTAAACATCCCGATTTTCTAAAAACAAAAAATATTATACCACAGATAAAATATAGGATGATTCAATACGATCGCAGATTTTCTTTTACAAACAAAACACAATAAAATTTGTCTAAATAAACACAGGATGCACGTATCAAAATGACTTTTTGGCATATTTCACTGGAATCGTCTTGGGCTTATTAAAGACGTCTAATGGTGTGAAATCACAAGATCTCGGCGGCCATTTGGCCTCGTCGTTTGCAATAGGGCCATTGTTTCATGCACTTCGTGGCAAGTAGTACAGTCCTGTGGACCCCACATTTTGCCCAAATTCAAGTCATCTTATAAAAAGTTTGTTATCATGTAACGATAATGGTCACCGTAACAGCTTTATCAGCATCATTTTCATTTAAGTGCCTTATCGCTTATGGTGTTTATTTTTTGAAAAATCTGCATCATGTGCTTGTTGTTGAAGAATACGGCACTACGAATGGTCTCTAAGCTTCAGCGTGTTAAAATAGGTTTTTTTTTTTTTAATCCGCTGAAAGATGCTGTAGAAAATGTTCAATTGCTGTGCACGACGATGAATGGAAATTTTAGCGGACTGGTCCACACGTTTTTTTCACAGCAGAAATATTTTCGGCCGAACGACCTGTACGAAGACGTACGGAAGCTATCACGTTTTGCCTAACAAGGTGTACGTCCAGACGGCCATTGGAAACGCAAAATCCCGCGAAATTTTTGGTCTTAACGACATAAGCGTACTTGATGTGTCATATGAGCTAAGCTAAACATCAATATGGCTTTTTTAACGTAGACCGCACCACCACGGCACTTAACGCCCTCAATACCAAGATGACTCGAAGCTTCAATCGTCACCGCCGCTGTGAGAGAACCATCATTTTAGCCTTAGACTTGTCGAAGTCTTAAAACACCATCTGCTACTCCACGCCACTAGAAGGCATTGAGGCCGTCTCTTTCCCGCGAGCGATTAACGGATGGACTTAGAATTATTGAGTGGTAACTTTTCGAGATCAAACATAAGAATCGCGAAATTTTAAACAGAACAGGGGATCCAACTAGGTGGTATCCTTTCCGCATCTGTATAATTTTTACATATTGATGTTGAGCTGCCCGAAAATAACCGCATCACCTTGGCACAATTATAGGTTATATCCAAACTTACCCAGACCCGCATTTGAAGGTCCCTGCATAACACAAAACCACCCCACAAATCCAAGCCAAGTCCATGTTTTTGAAATTGTTTAGGAGAGACGAAAAGTCAATGTAGTTTCGTATTACGTGCCATTCTGCATCAAAAACTAACTTAAAAAAAATGCGCTTGACACCTATCACCTTTAAGTAGAGATATGTATGTGTTCCCTAATGACACCTGCGATTGACTTCCTAGAAATTGATTTTCCTTAAGAACTTTAATGCGCTCATTAAAACCGGGAACTTCGCTATGGCATTTGAAAACGCTTTGCCTGTTCCATGCGAATGCAAACCGAGCTTTTTTAAGTTTTTTTTTTTTTTATATCAGTGATGGGCAAAATTCTGCAAGCCAAAAGTTGGGAAAAGTTTCTCTCGCGAGATATGTACATATGTTTTGTTCGTCTCTGATATATTTCAGCTCTCTCTGGCCAATACTGAACTAAAGTAAGACTAAGATTTCTAAATTTGCTACATTCTTAAATACCCTATGTAAGAAATATATGAGGAATTTTACTCAGATTATTGCCTAAAATAAGAAGCTTTTTGAAACAAGTAATTTTTAGCAAAAAAAAACCGACTTAAAAATATCTATATATATATCCTATATATATATATATATATTTCATGATCCAATGATCGGATCTAAACCAGATTAGTATGGGACCACCTCTGAGGTACTATCTTTCCGATGCAAAAAGAATTACCGACGGTTGACGTGGTCCAAAGTTATGCGGTAACATATGTACATAAAAAAAAAATAATTATATTCCGACGAACTGATAACCTCCTCCTTTTTTGGAAGTCGGTTAAAAATGCCCTCATTTTCTCTTTCACAGCCGAAAATTTGATAAAACTTTGTGAAAAAAACTTTCACAAGGAAAACTTTTTTACAAATACTTTTGTTTTAATTTGAAAACTGAAACGTAAGGTTTTACCAGAATCAGAATTAACCGGCATTTGTCGGGCTTAGGGCCGGTTACTTAATGTCTGGTTAACACTAATTTGCGGTTAAACATCGTTATCGACGTTACCGACTCCCTGTTATTTGCATGGAGTCGAAGACGTCGATAACGATGTTTAACCGCAGATTAGTGTTAACCAGACATGAGTAACCGGCCCTTAATGGTTCATAGTTGTGTGAAATCATACATATATTTTTATATGCAAAACTAATTTAAAGAGTAAAACAGTATAAGCTTTGTTTCTTAACAGATAATTAACACTTATTTCAAAAAAACTAACAGAAACTAGCAGCTCTCTGTCGTTCTTGCGCTCTTCTTTTGTGGCTCTCCTGCTAAAATTTTACTAGCAGAAACTAGCAGCTGTCAAAATGGATAGACAAAAATTCGCGTCAAATATTTTCAATAGTCAAATACACAGATCAGCTGATTGCTTGCTTGTTTCTGCTAGTTTTGCATTTCTTACTTTTTCGATGTTTCGCTCTCTGCGAGCGTAATTCTTTCAATTATCTCATTCTTCTTCTTCCTAATTATCTGCTCGAAAAGAAAAGAAACAAACCCATAGTTACTCGCTGTCATCATCAGCGCATTTCATGCGACATCTACAGTAGGAAAGTAAAAGTTCACACAGCATCGCCGGCAGATGTCGCCGAGTGTTGGAAATAGAATTGAACCGGTTGAGACATTTTTCCCACAGTTGCCACTTATTCAAAATTTTGTGTACTACAATATACAAAACCTAAAATAAAATAAATGTACCATTTTTTGCCGTCCAACAAAATTGTATATAGTGACTCAAACAAGTGACCACGTTTTTTTTTATTTTATTTTATATTCGTAATGTTTTTCGAACAAATTTTTTTTTTCTATAAAATACCGCCCATGCCTTAATCAAAACCTTATAAACAGTTTTAAACTTAATACAAAATTTAGGAAAATCAATAGATATTGATCAAAATTTAAATTTTGTAATCTGAATCTTTAGAACATTTTTGGGTATGCAAATTTATAACCATACAATTTTAGTCTAATAAAGTGCAAGTTTCAACCGCCAAATAAATCGCAGGGATTTTAGAGAATTTTTTTGTTGACGGATTTTTGCATTTTTTTCTATACAAGCATGCATTTTTTATGAAATAAATGCGGGAGATCGCAAGCAACAGAATTCCTAAAAATCAACGACAGTTTTCTACATTGTACTTTTTATATAAAAAAAAAACATGGCGAAAAAATCGTCCACATACAAATTTTGAAAAATCAACGCAATTTTATAGGTGGTTGAAATTTGCACTTCATTTGACTAAAATAGTATGGGCTATAAACCTGCATACCCAAAAATATTCTAAATAGTCAGATCAAAAGGTTAGAATTTTGATGAAAGTTTGTCGAATTCAAACGAACGTTGCTTCAAAGTGTCGCAAAACAAACAAAAAAGGCCCAAATGGAGAAAAATGCCCAAATTTACGAAGCTGGCAACCGCGATCTTTCCAATTCATTTCATGTTCTTCTTTGGCCCGCTAAAGCAACTCTGCAACTCCAAAATGTTCCGAATGAAATGTGTTTATCACCTTGTACTTCCTGTAGTTCAGTACAATGACTTCCGGTAGTGCATTCCAATGACATTCCAAATTCCACACAGTCGATGACATTTCTGTTTTCTAGTTGTCAGTTGTTCGTGTAGCCAGAAAGAGTCTGTCGTCTGTCTATCAAATATGGCGTTCGTGTCAAGTGTTTTCTTTTGTACGTCGCTAATTTACCTGCTAAAAAATTGTGAAAAAGTGCAATAAAATACTAAATTTATTTGCAAAAACTTAATCAGTACTCGTCCAAAACCATCAGACACGATTTGTGTATACGTTAAATGTATTAGTGTTTGAATTTAATGTGAAAATTAGCAAATTTAAAGCGTTGAAACACAACAAGAAAAATTTGCCAAAACAGCGATAAAATCGATTCATAAAACAGTGAAGGAATATACACATACATACATATGTACATAAGCGTATGAGAAAAGTTTTAGCAGAAAACAAAACAGCAGAAAAGTGATAGCTGTTGTTGTTTGCTGGGTGTTTTTAGTTGAAAGGGGGGCCTGCTCTTTCATTCCTTTGTTGGGTTGTCCATTGGTGTTCATTCCTTTTTTCACATTGCAAGTTTCAACTATGCGAGGGTGGGTGGCGACATTGTAAATAGCTATGCAATATCTACACCCATTTTGATTTGGTGGAGTGGCTGCAATTGAACTTCTGCAATTGTGAAGCTGTGAAAAAGTGGAGCGTTGTTTCTAATGAATAGGAAATTAGAGGTGCATCAAAGAAAATTCACATACGGAAGAAAAATAAATTTGCAAAAGAGAATGCTGGCTTCCACTCTATTGCAATACTATAAATGATTAATCATTAAGCATTCAATATTACCACTTTAATGATATCAAGTACAAGCCGTTGGAGAAATTACGAAACTAAGGGAAGTATGCATCAGAAACTGAGCCAATTCTCTGAGGCATAAATAAGCGCTTATATATACATATATGTACATATATATTCACTTCTGATTGTGTGCTTGTATAGAGTTTACCTTGTAAATATTTTAGTGTCATGCTAATGAATGAGAAAACATTCTAATTTTGAGCAAATATTAGCAGGAATTTGGTAGCATAAGTAAAAACCCCATTCAAGGAAATGTACTGACTTAACGAATGAACGCTGGTGTTGACACGCGAACTGCGCACCTTGCTGCGCGAATTGGTGTCCTTCAACATTGCACACAGCAGCGAATCGTATTGCTAAGGATTGGAGTAAGTCGTAGAAATGGTTATGCTGCTGGTATGCATAAGTTCCGCATTTTATAATGTGTACATACATGCATATATATGTACATATGTAGTTGGTATTAAAACATTCAAAAAAAAAAAAAAAAAAACAAGGGAAAATTATAAATTACGGACTATTTAAAAAATAAAGAAAATAAAGCACAGCATTCGCAGTGCCATAAGCCAAAAAAAATATCTAATGATATTACAACCAGGGTAGCCAACTCATTTTTGAGAATTCGGCGATTGTCCCCGATTTTGCCCGAAATTTCTTAAAATTCCCCACCCATAGGAATGTTAGGTATGTGTTTGGATATATAACTGGTCTTTCTGTTTACTATATTTTTAAATGTAATTCATCTATGTATTCATAAACCAATCCAAGGATTTATAAAGTTTGTTAACAAATAAAGAATCAAAAATGTACATATAATATTAACATATATACAGTGGTCGAAAAAAAATTAGTCACACCAAAATTTTGATAAGTTTTCACAACTATTATTATTTACTTTTGTTATTTAATTTGAGTCATTTTTTTATAAAAGTATAGTTCATCTTTAACCAAAAACCGTATAAATCTAAGTTTCAAACTTTGTGCAATATGTAAAAAACAAATTAAACGAACTTTCGTAAAAATTTCGAGCTTTATAATTAGACTTTCTAGAAAGATGTTGAGTGTTCAGTTTTGTTGCCCACTCAGTTCTAGTGCAATAACGTGCAAGTTTCAAGTGGCTAAATTTTTTGGTTTAAGGATTTTTTACCGAAGGTGTAGCGGTGTTCATCCATATAAAAATAAATTGTGTTAATTCGTTATATGAAACCGAATGCTACAAAGAATATTATAAAAAAATTTCACGGTATTTTTAGCCATTTGAGACCTTATTATACTAGAATTGAACAATCAAAAAAACTTTATACTCAAAATGTTCTAAAAAATCTAATTACAAAGCTCGAAATTTTAACAAAAGTTCGTTGAATTTGTTATTTAAATATTGCACAAAGTTTTAAACTTAAAATTATACAGTTTTTTATTAAGGACGAACTAATAAATTTCAATTCAATTCAAAAGAAACAAAAAACTTAAAATAATAAAAATAAAATAAATTGCTTATGTCACAGCGTCTTAAATTCCCCACAAAAACGGTCCATTCCCCAATTCCCCACGCAAACTGAAATTCCCGCAAACTACGTGTCAGTCAGTGGCGGACCCCTGGGGGTTTTTAATACATAGACGCCATATTATACATGCATATGCGCTATACTAAAACACCCCCGTGGGTCCGCCACTGACTGACACGTAGTTCAACCCCAAATTGATGATTGGAAATTCGATGAAGATAAAAACATGCACAATGACACTCGCATGTTCCATTTTAATCTATTTTTGTATATTTAAAGGAAAATTATGGTACAAACGAAAAATGTCATACGGCAACCATAGTCGGCACACACTAAAGTAAACGAACTGGAGACTAATATAGGGCTGCCATACGTCCCTGTTTTCAGGGACATGTCCTCGTTTCGGTCCCTGTGTTCCCGTTTACAACCAAAATGTCGCCGCATAATGCTTGGGGCAACAAAATTTAATTTGCTGTTGTAATTTTTAAGTGGTTGACGTAAAAATTATTTATTCGTAAAAATTATAATACGCGGATTCGAAAGTGAACATGTAATATGCGTTAGTTGTACCATGTTCTGACCGACAACGAAAACACTTTGAAAACGAGTTTAGGGATTGTTAGCTGAAGGCTGTTCACACCTGCTGTTAGTGTTTTTCGTTGACATTTCTTACATCCTTTGTTTACAGTTTTGCTACAACAAAACAAAACCAGAATTCTTTTCTTTCATTTTATTTTCATTCACAACCTTTTACTTTTATTCTTATTTTAGTTTGGCCAGCCAATTAACAATAAATCCGAACTGGCGCATTGAACGTGAGTTTTCAAGTAGTTTTCAGCGAAAGCTGGTTTTCGTTTGATAGATTTTACATGGATTTTACAATCGAAGAAGATTATAAGTGTAACGATGATTTGAAAAAACTAGAGTTTGACTAAACCTTTAAAAATAATGAAGTTTTTTTTTGCTAATGTTCCCCGTTTGAGGCCCAGCAATTATGGCAGCCCTAGATTAATAGGAAATTAACGAAAAATAAACTCAACAAACGTTGTGCTTATTAAATTTACACACTTTTTCATTGTTTACTAGCATTAATAATAAAATTTTTTCAATAAATAACTCAAAAAGGCCATATTTTCTTTTGTTTATTTACAAACAAATGTTTCTCTTCAGCTGATTTTCTTACTTGCAAGTTTTCGCTGGTAATAATTTTCCCATCAGAAATTTGCAGTTCTATCACATTTTGCTCTCTCAATTTCTTCTACTTTGCAAGTTTTTTGGATACGAAAACGCAAAACCAGTAAAAGTTTTCTAAAAATTTGGATAGCTTTGGATATGAGTACACTCCTTATGATTTACACAAACTTACAGACTAAATAACCACAATTCTGTTTACCAAGACATTTTGCTTCGGGTTTTTGTGTCACCCACTGCTGGCTAAACCATAGCTTTTAATTTAATTGAAATCACTCAAAGTGTGAGTCACCCAAAAGCATAACAAACAATAAACTGACAAAAGCCATATTTGCTTGTCCATCATCATCATCATCGTCATCATCAGAACAATGCGAAACCCAACTAGGAATGTCTGAACACACGCCGTTTCCACAACACATTACGCCGCAATAAAATAATTTTTGTTTGTGTTTCAATATCATTGAATAAATCCTTGCTGGGTTTTGCCCGCGGCCCTCGAAGTCTTCATACATATATTTTATTCATTACATTTATTTCTACATACATACAAACATAGGTGCCATGGCGCAATTGAAGTAAATAAAGCCTGTTTGCTGTATAAGTACATATGTATGTGTAAAAAAGAAACAACTAAACCACAATAGTAAAGAAATAAAAATGAAAAAAAATTAAAAGAATATAAGTGCAAAAATATTTCAAGCAAAACGCAGAAAGTGTATTCCATTCAAATTCCACTTGATTTTTGTGTAATACTAGGAGAATGTGTAAGGTGCGGCGCAGTGCTTAGAGCGCTTTGAGCCGCATACGAAGCAAAAGTTAATAGAAAATTTGCTGATTGTTAACGCGTCACAAGGTTCCAACGCCGTCATCGTTAGCGGTCCGTAAAGCCGTCGCGTGGTCTGTCTTTCTCTCCGCATTTATCGTTCATCGTTACCGTCATTCATATCGTCAACAACGCGTTGTTTCCGTTGCCGTCAAAGTCGACAACAATTCGAACATTCACCAGGCTCTTTCTTGTCTAGCTAAAGCTTTGAGCCACTGAAACGTATTCAAAAGGATAAGTATATACACGAACGTGTTCACTCACCGTACTCCCTCAACGCCCAAGCGTTAGAATAATCGTCCTTTGGAGGACGTCACCAGCAGCACAGCAACGTCACTAACAGCACGCAAAAGAAAAACTCTTTTTAGAGTATAACCTTGTTTTTTTTTTTTTTTAATTTCTGCTGCTGCCACCATTCCATTCATTGTGGCACTCAAACCACATAGCCACAAAGCAAATAGGAAACATTCGCGTGTACATAAAGGCTCACATTGACGACAACGTGGAGAGTGTAAACCGGTTCATACCGAGAGGAATACAAACTTACTCATACGTACACCATGTCAACCGATAAGATCAAAGTTGCTGTGAGGGTGCGACCCTTCAATCGTCGCGGTAAGTCCAATCTACCGAAACCATAAAGTATATATATGTATGCATGTACATATTGTATACATTTAACATGCATACTTATAAATATTTATCAATGCGCTTTCGTATATCTACATATCGTCGCCTGGGTAAAAGATTGTCGTAAGCGTCATCTGTACGTGCGTAACATACGACAATCGTTTACCCAGGCGACGATATGTATTTGCTTACATGCTTTTATAAATTCTATTGACTTGTGTATATACATACATACATACATACATATGTATGAGCCCAAGAGGTGTAATTATGAACTACTACATATATGAGGGCACTCACTTGTTCGTTTGTGCAATATTTACTTCATGAATTTGTTAATGCCTTGTCACGCTTAATTAGAATTCATAGCTAAATATATGTCTACTTTAATTTGATGGGAGCATAGCTTCATATGTTTACAAGTTCATGGATAATTAAGCAATAAGTAAGTGTGCGAAGCGAAAAAATGTAGAAGAAATTGTTTATATTACTTTAATGAGTTCCACACAAAAATTAAGCAAACAAATTTTAATTATAAGGTTTATCTTGAGATTTTATGATTACTTCTTTTATTTATTAGAGTTCTAACGATCGATGAGGGATCCGACTGTCTTACTTTTTTTAAGTTTGTTATGCTTCTGAAATGCTCGTTAAATTATCCATCTGATAAGCAAGACGCAATGTAATAAGTACATTAATTATATCGTCACCTGAAATACAAAAAGACGTAACAACATCGTAAATAAAATGGGAAAAGTCGTGATAATATTTTCTTTTTATTTTATTTTTCATAAAATAATATGGTGAGTTGTAATTCGATGAAATCCATCATATAAATCAAAAAGTGAATTTGGAATTTTTTATTAGTTATGACTTTTTGCATTTCAACGATGATGTTTGTTACGTCTTTTTGCATTTCAGGTGACGATATTGACTAAACGCCAATAGGAACCTAAGGAACACATCTGTCGTTTTTATATTATGATGCATCCAATTTTTTTTTTTCAAAAACCGAATTCCTAAGAAAAAATTCTTAAAAAAACAAACTCTCGAAAACGAAGGCATTTTTGGGAATTTATGGTTTTTTATTTATTTTTCTTTATTTTTTTTTTTGTGCAAGTATTAAACATGACGATTTATATACATATGTATGCAAGAAGCCATTTTAGTAGGCTATTTACCTTACCTTTGTCCAGCAAATGCATGGCATTGTCTGTGGTCTGGAACTTGTCATTAAAATTAATATTTGCAGTTTTCGCAACATGAAAATACTTCAACTTCGCGATTTCCTCAGTCTGCCATTGGTATCTTTTTAATTTTTCACTCTTACGTCAGTAATTTAAAAATGATTTATAAAATTCAGAGAAATGTGCTTAGAGAAGAAGTATGGGTATAAAATTAACGAGGAAATCCCCTAGAATTTAAGCAGATTCAAGTTTCTGGAACAGAAGGGCTAGTAAATATTGAAAATGTCTTTTTAAAATTTTATCCTTGAAATTTCGCATAATTTGTTTTTGAAAAAATATATATGTTAAGGGTTTATATAAACTCGATAACATCCTCGAGTTGCGTTCTTCTAACTTTGTCTGCTTAAAAATTTCCTATTCGTCCTTGTGAATGCAAAATACTTAAATTTTTTAAATTATAAAGAAATTTCCTTTTGCATTTGTTACCCATATTTTTATTCTACATTGCATTGATTTTTTTTTAACAATTTTTGGAATTTATCATATCTTTAAAATTACAAAGTTCTTCAAAATAAATCCTGCGGTCAGAGAGAAAAACTAAAAACGCCACTTTAAATAAAAAAGTAGGTGCAAACCCATTTCTTATTATTTATTTCATGGTAGAGCTCTCCAAACAATATAGATGCAATTTTTTCGGTTCAAGTTGTTGAAAAGTAATGAATATCTAAATCCCGAGACTAATCCCGGGATCCCGGGATTGTGACAACGCCATCCCGAAAATCCCGGGATCGGAAAAAGCCGAAGCGCTTGAGTTAAGCTACAAAATCTTAAATGAAATACATATACTAAGTTGTATAGTTCAAGTACTACTTAGATATGTTTTTGCGAAAGCTAATTTCAGAAAAATTAGCAAAGAACTTTCAAAGTTATCTTGGCCAATATAGTAAAATGTCCTACTAGTCACAATGGAATGGCTCTGAAACTAATTTGCTAATGTAATAGATGTTCTTGAATTCGATTAGGCCTTTAGTGAGTAGATAATTTACCTAACTTTGAACAAACCTGAAGTTCGAAAGAAAATAAAAATGAGTTAGAGCCTTTCTATATTAAGGCAACGATATGTATATCTGCCGGTAGCACTATAGATTTTTTTGTTCATTACGATATCTTATCGATGCGCATCTATTATTTTTCATCGATATTTTCATCAATATGATTATCGATATCAGTTTTACCGCAATTCGATACCTATCTAAAATTTACAAGTTATTTGTTGCGCAATTCTGCGAGTAAAAAAAATATAAACGTATCAGAACTAGCGGTTCGCTGGGGATACGCAATTCTTTACAATTACAGAAAAATATCTCAAAGATTAAAAATTCACTGTTTTCTCATTGTCCACGATAAGAAAGTTACGCTATGCCCAGCTTGACAAAAGTTTGCCAGAGAGCCAAGCTTAATAAACTACACATCAATGGCTTTCAGGGTGATACATTTAACTGCCAATGGCAATGTCCAACTCGCGAGAAGCAGCTTACTGGCCTACATATGCATATCTCCAGAGTATTATGGCCCCACAAAAAATTGATTATGCCCACGAGAATCCAAGTAGAGACCTCCAGATATCGCAGAAAATAGCATCAATCATAGTTGGATTACATTTTTGACTTTCATAATATCTGTAATTGACACATATGTAAATAAATTACGGGAGAGAGCACCTCGCTCTGGGATACATACACATTTTTTATACTGTTTAGATATGAATATATGTATTTAATAGGCAGTTATTTTCTTTATATCGCTATACATAGTTGGTATGTTTACAAAATAAAATACATACCCAAATTTATATAATTAATGTCTCTATTTACACACAGCACATATTTTATGGCAATAAATTTTCCGACTTTTCCCGACTCCTTAACTAACGGCATCTGGTCGTAAATAAGCAATGCTTCATAACTAATGTCTTCTCGTACTATGCCGCCTATATTTTTACTTTTATTAAGTTTTACTATTCGTAACTGCAACCAAAACTGTCAGAGTATTCCCGTATCGATTTGGCAACAATTTCTTATCGCTCTACAATCGAACACACAACAAACAAGGATTACACACATATGTACGTACATATGTATAACGCTTGCCAACTTAATTTTTTTGCAGTTTGTTTTCATAAAATTTCTTTGTGAAGGGCACAATACAGTATTGAGAGAAAAAGTGTTAAGTGTATATGCTGATATTCATGGGATGCTGGGCGAAGAAACTTAAGTATTTATTCAGCGATTATCCCACATTTACTCTTAGACCAAAGACACAAGTTTAGTTGCAAATATGGGTCAACCCCCTATAACCTTCTAAACAAAATTACGACTTGTGAAAATCTGGCACAGAAATATTTTCTTTGTGTGACTGGTAAGCTTCTTAAAACATTTTTATAATCAAGCCGCTTTTTTTTAGAAACCATCTTTTTTTAGAGCAACATTTCCATTTTGTGGATGAGAATCAAAACTCAGACCCCTATTTGCAGCGTCTTTTCCTTAAAATACTTCTATCTTCATACATGTAAATGTTTTACCCAGCACTGTATCAATGCAGTTCCTGCAGCTTCCAGATTTCTTTCTAAAAGTGACAAATGCCCACTGATGCGAAAACCAAAAACTACAAATTTTTTTTGCCTGCGAATATTATATAAATGTGTATCTGAGTATGCATAGTGCAAAGATGGTGTCTTCTTCGTCTTTTGGCAACTTCTGTGGTGCTTATCGTTTCTCTGCTCCAAATATGAAATGCTAGATAAGACGCCTGTCTCACATGCGTTTCGCTAAATGTATTTATATATGAACATACATATATTCCTGTATGTGTTCCGATTGGCAACGAAGTAATTTATGTATACATATATGTATTTAAATACATATATAGTATTTTTCGCTTGGAAGTTCAATGGCCACTTCATTTTACACGACTGGCGGTAGATTTGAACAAAAAAACTCGTAGGCGAGTCATCTGGGCAGCCATAGAAATGTGAGCTCTTTTAAGAAGAAAAATTGGCAACTTAATTTTTAGTGTTTTTTTTCGTTTCACGAGTTGGCGAAAATCGCCATACTTGTACAATGCAGGTACACAATGTTCATGACAGCTTTCCTCCCTTTTCCTTTTTTGTAGTTACTTCTTTTATATTTGTGAAAACTTAAAATTCATGCATATGTATGTATATTAGACTTTGTCGCAAAAAAGTTTGCAATTCGCATTTTTTTGTAAACATAACAATAAAATAGGGATATATATTACACAAAAACATCTTTTAAACGATATATCACTCTTTGAAATCGAGTCATAAATAAAAAAGTTAGGAAGAAAATATCGATCTCAGCTGTTTCTAGGCCCCTCTAAAGCTAGCTTTCAAACTAGGGGAGTAACTTCAAAATTTTTTCTTTTGTTTGGGAATGAACCCAGTTTAATGTACAAATGTATGTAAGTTTGGAACGTTCAGTCATCTCTTGTCAAAGTTTAGTTCGGAGACAAACCGGTATCGGTATTATGCCATCTTCATTGTAATCTTTCGTTATTTATTTAGATTTCACTTATTGGGGCATTGTATGCACTTATTTGTATTATTAGATCAATGCGAAATAGATCGAATTGGGAGATCTCATTCCCCAAAAAAAAATTCACCTGCTAAATAGAATTCAAATTTTATGCACCAGGAAATTCCGTGAAAAGTTCGCCTTTTTCCCAGAAAAGTTTGATGTTTTTATTGAATGACTTAACTGATTCTACAATGTATTATAGGGCATTTTCACCAAGCCTTAATTGCAGTTTATGCTCGTTGGAAAAACGTGATGTGACACTCGAACGGGGTAATTGCTCATGATAAGTATAAGCAAAGGAAAGAACGAAAGCAAAAAGCAAGAAATAAACATTGCCAAACCCTATGTTAGCTTTTGGTGGAAATAGGCTATTACCTTAAGCTCAATTTTGAGTTAAGCCAGCACTCAGCCTGGGAGAACCGAACATTGTAGTGCCTCCTCAGGAACGAAAAGATCTCTGACTGAGGTAGTTTCCATTCCCACTCCATACTGTATCATACCAGTACCTAATTCTTTTATGTCTTCAAATGACCGTAAGATTAATTTGCGAGTCTACACCACCACACCACAGATGTTAAACAGATGAAGGCTATTACCAAGAATGGTGACACATGATGGACCTCATGCCTTACCAAATACCCGGATTTTTTCAACGAGAACCTTTTATTGAAGCTTGCTATCTAGGATTACTCCTAACTACTTCACAGAAAGAAATATGAATAAGTAGTCACTTTTTTAAAGCATGCGCAATGATGCCATTCAACCTCCTTCTTCTGATGAAGAGCACAATACCTCCAGCAACCGCAATAGGTTTGCGGAATAATCCGAATGAGTATATAAATGAGGAGATTTCCGTCGCAGATATCGCAATAGAGTAGATCGTGCTTGAAGTCATGGATGAGAACCAAGAAGATAACATAGCCCTAAGGCTATTATCAGATTATGCAGTTATTTGAAAGCAGTTATTTGTGACATGTTATTGCTTTTTTCCAGACAATTTGTACTATAGGCTTTGGCAAACTTGGTCATGGAGCGATATTTAGTTGAACAACGCGTAGCAAGTTATTCAAACGTTTAAATAAAATGGTCGTTATGTAAGAAGTATGTTTCGCGCATCGCAAAGAGCCACATTTTCTCCTAAACGGATAGGTTAACTCGCAAACCTGACCCTACGGCAGGAAAAAACTAAGCAACCACAGCGAGTCACTTTTTGGACCGTACTTCATCGAAAATGATGGCCTGCATTAGACGGCATGCAATTCGACAATATATGGTTTCAGTATAACGGTGCTACAGCTGCGGTCTTATTGTATCACCCAATATTTATTTTCTCTGAGGGAGTCGTGTTCGGTTTTCTTCAATGTTCTCCTGTGTGTTACTTAATTTACCCGTATGTAAACTTTTTCTCTAGAATACTTTGCAAAAAGTTCTTTTTGCAAACCTCAGCTAAAAGTTTGTCATCGTTTTTTCCACTTTCTTTCTTTGTAGTAGTTTCGTAAAAGTGTTGCGGCTTCCTCCAGTATGTATTCATTTGTGGTTTGACCGAATTTCATTTTGTTGTACTCTACTTAATTTTTTATTCATACATACATACACATTTAGTTTGGTGCAAATTGTACTACTCAATTTTGGCATTTCGCGCCGTCACTTATTTTCACTTTACGCTTATACGTTGTTATTACTTATGTCTGTAATTAAATATAGCAACAGAGAAGAAATAGAAATAGCAACGCAAATTTAATGCGTGCAAAATTGTAAATAAATTAAATGCAGCAACAAGGTACATAGTTATTAACGCGGCTGAAATCGAAGGTGTAAATTTTCAGTTCAAACCTCAAACTGCCAGCAAATTAAATACATACTTATCTACTGCCACGTACTGCTACATACTCTGCGTTTCAGCTGCTCAACTGTCAGTCAGTCTGTCAAAGCTCACAGTTTGTTGTTATTTGCTTGCTTTGTTTATTTTCGCTTGCTTGATCGTTGCCTATTGATTCGTTCTTCCTCGTTCGTGTTGGCAATTTAATCAATCAGGCTTAACAATCGAGTACGCGATTTCCATTTTCCACTATCCGCCGCCGGATTTGATGTTGATGCTATCGGCATCTTTGTAACAACAAATAACAATAGTTCCGATTTTGATTAGTTTCTTACCTCCCGGTTGCCTATCACCTCCCGGCCCACTACATACACATAGTACTGGATACAGACATACATAAATATTTAATCCCCTTTTATTGTTTGTACGCACACGTACGAATATTTCTTTAACTTTCTATTTCTCATTCTTCTGATATCTCCCTAGCAGAAAATAGATACATAAGTATGTATAGGGTGATTCAAGGGTAATAAAGTTCTTTGCCGGCCATTATTTTTACATGTTAATGTTTTTTTTTTTTTAATTTTTTAAGGCAATCGGTTCCTCGGGCTTTGGCAAAATTAGTCATGGAGCGATACTCAGTTGAACAATGCGCAAAAGAGATCCAAACGTTTTATCAAAATGGTTGTTGTGCAAGAAGTGCATTGTGCGCATTGCATAATTTTGTCGGTCAGCATAACCGGCCATGTGAGCAAACAATCTGCCGTTTGGCGCAGAAGTTCTAAGAAATTGCGTTAGTGGAGAACGTTACAACAACCGTGCGTTTCTGATCAGTTGGACCAGGCCGCGGCACGTTCACTTCGTCGTCGTGCACAACATTTGAACCTTTCCTACTGCGTCATTCGGCACTTGATGCTGACTTGTAAAAAAAGAAAACGTTATGAGTGATGAGGCATATTTTCACCTAAACCGATACGTTAACAAACATAACGCAGCTTTTGTTGCCAGATCAGTCGTGGTAGGCATTTAACGGATATTATGAACACGATAAAACAAACAAAATAATTTCGACAAATTTTTTTTCCGCTTCAATTATAAAAGGAAATCTGAGGTCTTATTGAATCAACCTGTATAAGCATACATGTGTACCTAATCTTTTGTATTATATGTACGTATTTATGCAAAGTGCCAGCAAATATATTGTTGCATTGGCCTCTTCTGCTTTTCATATCACTGTCGCTTTATAGCTTTTGTTGTCATTGCTTTTGTTATTATTGTTGTATATACTGCTGGCATTGTAATCCCTAGCCAACTACCTTTTATTATATCGAATGCTGTTAGACGAAACAATGGCACCAGCTGCGCCAGGAGTGCGCCAACAAAGCGCCATTGCCGCCACTGTACACCTCCCCACCTTTGTCTCATTTTCTCTGTCTGTGTTGTGTGATTGAGCAACTTAAGTTCTTTCTCGCTTGCCGTAGCAAAACAAAAACCTAGTTTATTATGGCGAAGAAGAAAAAGTAAATAATAAGCAATAAGTGGAGAAAAAAATAAGAATTTAAAACGACAAATCATATAAAATGTTCAACAGCCAACCACAATGTATTTTAGCCACAAACGAGCTACCAACAACAACTCGTTACATAGCAGCAAGCTCATTCAGCATTTTCTTGCAATCGCGCTGGGATTGAATTGGCTTTTGAGCTGCCTAACCCGCCTCAGCGCTTCTCCGCCCTCTCCTTGTTGCCTATGTTTATATTTCAATAGCGTTTCCTTCAAAGTACAAGTATTTATACATACATCTATGTATAGTGTTGGTGGTTTTGTTGTCTTCTTAAGCGATTTTATTGTATGTGCAAGTTGTTTACATTAAATTTCCATAATTTTGCACAATTTCTATTTGTGTTTCTATTTTCGCGGTTTTTCGCTTTTTGTTTTGCATTTTCATTGCGAGGGTGAATTAGAATTGAATTGAATTTGTGGCGCTTGATTGAGGTGTTTTTGTTTTTCTTTTGCATGTTAAACAAATATGTATGCTTTGCATTAACATCAAAGCTTTCACTTTTTAGTTACGCATTTACATTTTTGTGGTATACTTGAAAATAGTTTTCGTTCGGCGTATATAACCAAATAGAGTGCTTGTGGAAATTAACTAAAGTCTTCGAAATTGAAGTTGTCATTTTCCTCTCCAACTCCTTAAAAGCTTCGAAACTTTTTGTAAAGTCAGGATTATCTTTGACAAGCGGCATGTCGCCGCATGCCCTGAGCAACTAGAATTACGGTACTCTCCGCTATAGCGGCCGCATCACAGTGGCTTTGGAGTTTGTCTTCTCTGCAGAAATTGTCAGGTGTATATACTTCTTTAGTATGTTCAAAGTAGAATAACTAACTGTTAAAATGTTTTTGTATTTAAATACAGCTCTTTCGACCATACGCAGGGTTTGATTCGTTTCAGGATAAAATTAGCTAGTTTTTCTGCAAAAGTTTGTTTCACTTCTTTCCTTTGATGAAATAAAAATATAGGGCATATGCTAGTTATCCCTAAAGCAGTCTTATAATTTCCAATAAAGTTCAGGTCGGGACCTCAAGATGGACCACTCCAGAATTTAGAGCCTGTTGAATGTTTTAAACGCATTTCCTTTTCAACATATGGAAACATGAAGAGTTTCCACGTATATTTTTTCACCCATAGAGTATCCATACGGTACATCCATCTGCATAGTATTGTTTTCACTTAGTTGAATTTTCAGTTGCGATGTAATATATGCAATTCCCTTGAATTTAGTTTCTTCGTGAAATTAGCAGCTGTTTGGCTTTACTACTTATTTTCGGTTGGTTTTACTCATTCCGCATTCAGTTGTCTTTTAAAGTTTTATGCGGGGATGTATAACAGCCTTGGTTTTTTAATCAATTATTGTTAATCTATCACATTTACTAAAGAATTAAGCGATTTTGGCGGAGTTTGATATAGCAGACCAGGCACTTCTGCTTGGTAACTGTACTCAATTTAAAAAAAAATACTACTTAAGTAAAGATCTGGTCTTTCCACACTAAAGAGATCTTCCACTTTCTCTGCCACCGCCAATGGGTACCGCATCGAATACTTTCAGAAATGGGCCGTTCGTATCCTAATTTGCTTCACTATAACTATGTTGTTGGAACGAATTATAGCCGGTATCATTCCATCGTCCCTTCGTCTGCGCTTACTTTCCCAAGCGCAAAGTGGACAACCTGTTAT